GATATAAAAGGGGATGACCGCAACGAATGTTATGGCAATACAAAAATGTTTTTTATCGGTACATTTTATGATTTCGGTTAACGATTTATCCGTGAAGTGGGCAGAATTGTCCGAAAGGTTGTGAACCTCTTTCGAAATTATGTCAACACAATAACATTACAGCGAATTGTTTAGATCTCATTGAAAAAAAAATATAATGTGAGAGTCTTTTTGATCCTGATCTCCATTTTGTGGTGTTAGGTTATTTTATTTTATTGCGCTGCAAATTGAAGTTATTTTGCAGTATTTTATCTGATGTATTAAAAAAACACCGTAAGTAAATTGCTTTAATAAAAACAGTTAACCACTACTAAGATATTGTTTTAAACTTTCATGGGCACTAACATTATAGTTTTAGCGGGGTTGTGTGTTACCATGTACGTTATTTGTACGACTCCCCGATATTTCGGCACTGTTGCAAGCGCCATGCATGACCATGCAGTAACATTCCGGTAGTTACTCGGTCATCATGACGCTTGCAACAGCCAAAATATCGGGGATTCACAAATTACAAAGTAGATGGTAAGAATCCCGCTTATAACTATAATAAAACTACTAAAATATTAAAAACAAACATCTTATAAGGCGTGACAAGTCTCCTCAATTAAAATACATACTTATATGCTACATAACTAAAGATCAGAGCAAAGACATGTATATTTCCTTCTGTAACTATTATTTTATGAAAACTAAATTAATATTATTATACAGATCACAGCTATGTTGATCAATATTAATTCAGTACTTTGAAATAGTAAAAGTTTTATGATTCATAGTGACTTAGATGTAATCAGCTCATCGCTTCGAGGACATTCATTTAGAAATGGAATGATGCATGGCGCGACGGATTTCAACTCCTACGCAGTCTTTGTTCATCACTTTTTAGGCCTTCTGAAATGTCGATGTTTGTGAAATTTTAGTTAAAGTTCCTCTAGTATATCTCGGTAGGTCTGGGGTTATCAGTTTAGTACGCATACTTATTTGATTTTTTAGGAAAGACAGCGTGACTTCAGACCTGCCAAGTTACGAGACTTATACTAAGGTCTTATACTATCAAATACTAAAACTTGGTCAGACTTTATGTAACAATCTATATCAGGCATTAGGATACATCAGATCTTTGCAACTGGTTTCCAAGATCTGGGAGAGTAATTAGCTTTCCACCAAAGCCAAATTTGGCATTACAGCCTGTGTAAGTGATGGTTTTATAACTAAAGAAAACTTTTGATAGTCACAGTCGAGGCCCGATTTAGAGGCCCTGAGGCATGAAGGAGTGGAGGCCGGGTTACGTACCTACGACTTGCAAAAATATGAAGGTGTCCGTCCAGTCGTACCTGATAATCTAACTGACGAACTAAATAGAATAGCGTATAGGAACTTTACACCGTCATCACACCAATTTATTCGTTTAATAGTGACGGTAAATCTTACGAGCATAAATCAATAATCTAAGCGGTAAATTTATGGTTTTCGTCCTATCCAGTATAATTCTCTAGAAAATTTTACGTCTTATAACGGAAACGAGATACCAAGTGTTTGATCAGATCTCGACGCGTCATGCCACTCGGATGCACCTCGGCTATAATTAACAAAATTGGTCCCGCCGTCTGTGATATCCAATGGCCTAGTTTGACACGTGGTCGAGCTATCAAAATCTTCAGCAATTGCTTAGAGGCATTAATGTTTCGATCGCACGTAATAAAGTGGATTCGAAGAGTGGGTTCGTTTCAGCGGTAGCACGAAATTACAGTTATGCTCCCTTTTAACAACCGAGGAATAAGCTTAGACTACTTACACCGTGTTTTGTTCCTATCACTCAAATGTCATTCAATGAACAGAAACAAAACATGGAGTAACTATTCCATGTTTAATCTTCGTTTATTAATAAGGTGGTTTATGTTCCTCTGGTAACAAAAGCTACTGAGTACTTGGGATGAAGCCGAAACTAGCAGACATATATTTCATTTCTGAAAACTGTTTTGGTATCTCTTATTTATTTAAAAGTAAAGGATAGTAATCAAATTGTTTTCACGAGGGACCCTTATGCTATATGCAAGTATGGCTAAGGTGAATTTTGCGAAAACAACGACTTAGGTTTTTTTGCAAATTTCACCTTGCCTCGTACGTAGGGTTGCCAGGCCATAAAATGCAAAGGCCGGACTGCGCACTATATAAGGCCTGACATTTTGGACATATTTTTTTTATTAAAAACATAATGTTTACAGCTGGGCTGTTGAAAAAAGTATTTATACGTGACACCGCGCGCGCCAACAGTTTGCTCTCTTGTCCGCTCGGACGCTCGTCCGCCCAACGTCGCTCGTACGAATCGCCACTCTGACAAAAAGCCTGACAAAAGCCGGACATATTTGGCCGGACGCGACCGCAAAAAGTCAAACATGTCCGGCTAAAGCCCTGACACCTGGCGAGCCTACTCGTGCGTCACCCACCCAAATCCTATCTTATCCCAATTACATATGCTGCAGGGTTTAGTACGTTGCACATGGGGGCAGCGGTCTCAGGGGGCGCCGAGCGTCACTTTTGCATACGAGCGCTACAAGGGCTAGAAACGCTTCTCTCTATCCCCTACCCCATGGAGCCCTAGATACATTACTCACCGGCAGAAACACAACAAAAGGTAGACTTATTTCCGCTCCTAATGTGGAGAAAAACCTGCTATCTCTCTCAAAATAGATAAACAAATCTTTTCTTGTCATATTAAAGGAACAATCTGAAAGGATTTATGTTCTTTAAATTATAATTATTAGTAAAAGGGTCCATTCTTTTCTCCATACAACTCTGCCCATTTTTGTACCTTAATTATCATGCATTTATGTGTAGAAAAATACGCCACTCATCAAAAATATAAATGGATTTTATTATCCTCGTGTGCCACATAAAATAGCATTCAAAAATTTTAATTAATGGCTATACAGAAAATATATTATGGTAAATGTGCATCTTTAAGTTAATAACAATCAGCTAGCCCAAAGTAAGCACTATAAGGCTTGTGTTATGAGATGCTGGGGTAGCGGATAGAATACATATACTGTACATATATAAGTTTAAATATTTAAATATATTTAATATAAGTTTAAATATATTTATATAAATACATATAAAACATCCATGATAGGAGTACAAATGCTCGTATTCATCACACAAACATCTGCCCCATCTGGATTCGAACCCGGGACCTCTCGAGTCAGCGACACAATGAAACCCGGCGTACAAACCACTAGGCCACAGAGGTTGTCAATGTATGTAATAATGTTTCATTATATACAGAGTCCCATTTTAATTCAGATTTTCAATTTTATTATTTTTATTTTTTAGCAATTTTTATTTCATTTGTTTGAGATTCTGATGAGTGAGCTTTTTTAAGTATAATTTAAGATGTTTTTTGAGATAATTTGTACCAAGGTACAAAATTGGACAAAAGTCAAAGGTCATAATCATAATTTATTGCGTCATGTTGGCACATGGGTTGGTAAAATTAAAATAAGGATTCAAAAATCAGGATACCCTGCAAGGAAGGCTATTGCTAAACTTTTTATTTGCTAAGTAAAACTAAGGTCCATATTACAGAATGACAACTAAGTATTGATCTTTACTTGAGTACAGTTAGAAAGGGATATCGCTATGTGCTATATATAGCAACATCCTTTTCTAACTATGCTCAAGACTAGTTTAATCACTGAGAATCTTTCTATAATACGGGCCTTAATCCGGCACAAATGATTTTAAAGTAGTAAGGGTAATAAATATCCTCCCCCTATAGCATAAGAAGTTCGGATTAAGATATTCTTTTCTTAATTTAATGTTTTATTAGCTATTATTATAATGAAGCATTAGGTAATTATTGACAGAAATTAAGTATTGATATTGCATATTTTTGAAATGGCCAGGTATATTTTTTTATGGTTTTCTTTGGTATAAAATGCATTATTTGTCAATGTTTTGTAGAAAGAAAACCATATATATAAAAAAAATATATATGGTTTTATGAGTAAAAATGCCACATTAGGCATTATCACTGTTTATTCCTAACAACTATCATTACACAGATTGTTTTTTTCATGGTACACTTTTGCCTTTAATATAGGTCAGTCCAAAAAGTCTATTAAAACTGTACTCACAATATATTATATTATATATACTATATTACCGAAAAATTACTTATTCACCCATGTTTGTAGAAAATTGACGATATGTTGACGAAAGCATTTTTTTATATGAGATGTGTTTTTGCATATTATATATAGCATATTTTAAAATAACGATGGTCGCTCATTGCACAATGTATATATAGCTCTTCAATTTACTCAGTCATTATTAGAATTTAAAATTACTAAACACACACATGGACATGTATGTGTTAAATTTTCCTCATCAATTGTGAACAATTCATGATAGGAGAAAGCTAAAGTTTTGGATAAGAGGGCCTGTTGTTGAGTGTATGCTTAATTCTTTTTCCTGTTAATACCCTAATAATGTTATTTTTTTTACCAATGTGAAAACAGTTATAATCATAATTTTGAAACCAGAAATTATGAGAAATGTAAATGACCAGAAGTAGCAATTACAAAAGTAAGCAGATAATATTAGTTGTTTTCATTACAAAACAATAATAAATCATATCGATGTTGGAAACAATGTCAATAAATAATTATAATGTATTTTTAAATCTGTTTCCGTTCTGTTTAGAGTAGTAGGAGTTTTTTTTTTTAATTATAAATGTCCTTAGATGATGAAACAAAAATTAAACTCGTGGGTAGCGATAAAAATCGTACACAAGTATTAAGTGACATTGAGTTCAACCTCCTTTTAAAAGAGAGAAAAATTTCGCAATACGAACTAAGAATCCATTCCGTCTGCAAACAAATTGCTAAGTAACGTCAACTTATATCAAACATTAAGCTTATCTTACATGAAAATACATGATTTCAAACGAAAACACTTACCGGAGCGTTGCTGGGATCTTAAGTTGTAATTTTGTCAAGTAAAACAAACAAAACTGAGTCGATTGTAAAAAAACAACAACAACAATTAACTAGATGATTCAGCCGTTATTTTTGCCAATTTTGAGTAAAAAATATCAATTGCACATTAGCACAACACAGTGATACAAATTCAAATTGTTTAATGTTATGTTTTTAGATAATGTAAGTAACTTAGTTTTACCAAATAAGCAAATTATTAGAACGTAAACAAAACAAACACAAACATGACACACCAAACAGCAAACTAAACGGAGACTGCGACTTAATCTATGTAATCTGTGGGTGAGCTGCGTCTTGACTTTTACAGAGTTGCCAACTTCTAAAACTATTTACCCACAAAATCTTAGTGATGTCGACGCACAGTGGCCTAAAAAGGCCTTTCATAGACTTATTATATCCGTGAGTTGACTTCTTAAGATCACTGGGTGAAATAATTTGACCAAGATTAATATATTTATATTCTTGCACATGCTAATCGAAAGCGAGATTGTCGACTTGAATAGCAGTTTTAGATGAGTTGGTTAGAAGTCTTATCAGTATGGGCTCAAAATAGAATCATCAATATAAAATATAGTTCCCCGTGGAGATTTTGGTGACAGCGAATTGTTGATGTTTTATTACTCCTCCTTTTATGTATTGTTGTAGATTTAAATATTAGATATGTATAATATGATAAATCACATGGTCGAATTCACAATAGCATACTTTTATGAAGACAGAATTTCTCTTCTTTATTGAACGCCATAATTATCTAATGTAAAAAAACATATAACTTATTTTTTGACGTGACAACGTCTTAAATTAGGTTGCGGCTGGGAGTCACTTATGAAAAAGTGTAACGCTCGGTAACGTTACGATGAGTCTCTCGTGTTAAGTTTAAGTTTACATGTACAATGTTTTAGTAAACAAAATATATTTCTATAGTTAAAATTTGTGCAATTCTTATTTTCATTCAATTCCTTGTTCCTATTGTGCAATTTAATTATATTCATATCAATAAATATTCTACCGAGAAAAAGACGTTGTCACGTAAAATCTTCGCCCGTAAAACCGACTTTACAGGCAACCATTTTTTTTATAAATGTTTAAGCACTTCAAATCTAAGATTAATAATAATAAACATATCGAGATGGTTTAAATATGATGCAATATATTCTTCTTAGGGGCCTAATTCTGGCATGTTTCTGTAAACCTAAAACTAAAGGAGACTGAGCATTAATGTTCCAAGAACCAACACCGAATTACCGATACCTTTATATGCAGGAGTACCTCAACCACACACAAAGGGTCAACCTTCATGTCGAACTCCCACTTATGGGTTTCATTCACATCGCCTGGTAAGGCATGGATAAGGGGATTATTATAAGATCTATTAAAAACTACAAGGTCACGTTTCATTTAGTGAGCCGGCCCTCTTTGATTTGTACTTTGTATTATTTTATGTTTTTACTGTGGAAAAAATGTTTTTCTTCGGTTTATTTTGTTTTGTAATAATTAAAAGGGTAAAATCTAGGTAGTTTAAACGTCGTGTAGATCAGTGAAATCTAACATAGTTAAGATTTTATACTGGTGAAAGTTCCCATCTTATTTATGTTTCCCGTAAACTTAGGTAAAAGTACTAAATTGGCTACAATGCTGTTAGTTTTTGTATATTCTCTTCTTTCAGAGAAGGCAAGAGAACAATACCCATACAGTCTAATCTTTAGTTTTAATTATCTTTTTTTTGGTGGTTTGTTTTTGGTGTAACCTTTGTGAGCACTTTGATTTTAGGCAATTTCCGATGTAAACGAATCAGTTCGGAATCATACGTCAACCGCGACACGCGAATCATATATCATATTATTATCATTGTATTTTATTAATTATTTTTTACTATCGAAGGACTCAGTGTTTCTTATATCAATTTTGTTATCATCACACTATACCGCACATTTTTTGGTCCATCGAGCATCTGAGCGGGATCTCGAGTTTCGGGAGAAAACTGTTGGTAAACCACTGCAAAAGTGAATAGTGTTAATTTCGGAATATTATCAAGACTATCAGGTGAAGAAGTGTACAGCAAATTCGATTTTCAGGTGACAACGAGAGGATAAAATCAAGTAAGATATTTCTAATTTTATATCAATTGAACATACGCAGACAAAATGGATCCTATCTACGACGCCTAGGCGGAGCTTTTTCTTATTTTGGAAAAGTCCTACATCAACATGAAGAAGGATGGTGCTGGGCTGAAATTATCTTCGAGCTATGCTAAGAACAAGCTAGTAATGTTAGAGGTGTATTGGGTGGAATATTAGAATAATCATCAGCAATTGTTACAGCATGAATATAAAGGGCGACCCTATTTCGCTCGCAGGAATTATGATAGAGCAACTAATTTGTATTCGGAAATAAAGAAGTATATAGATTGTATTGATAAGCAGTATTTTAGCGAGGAACCTGTGGCAAAATCACATAGCCAGGGTGACGTGCCAGACAAGGTAGACGCATGTTTTTCGTCCATGGAGCAGAAAACAGGAACAGTGGGTACATCAGGCGTTACCAGTATATTAGGCAACAAAAAATCAACGGGGTCGATAAGTAAGTTGGACGATTTGTTATACAAACAGGCAAAAATTTTTAAAGCACTCATGAGGACAGTGAAGGGCATTAAAGTCGAGGCAATTGCGGAAAAGTGAAAGTTTGAAGATGCTTTACAGCAGCTGCAATCGCGTTGGTTTATTATAGATTCCCTTCACTGAGAGATAGATGGTGTTTCAGATGGAGAAGATGAAACTTATGAGGCCGCTTTTACACACCACGAAAAGATATACAACCAGCTGAAAGAAACAATAAATACTAGACTATGGAAGCGGTACATCTCAATACGTCCCTGCCAAAATCGCAAAAATGCAGTATATGAAAGGTAAAATCAGGGGCGATGCGAACAATTACAGAGTAGTGCAGAAAATTATACTACTTGTTGCGACATTTTATACTATCATCGATACGAAAACAAAGAGCTAATTTTTTTCTTCACATCTTAATATTTTTTTAAATCTTCCGAATTTACTAGCATGATAACACAAAAGAAAGTTTAAACGCAATGAAAAACCTTGGTGTCGATATAAGCACATTGGATCCGATTTTGGTTCACATTCTGGCAAAATAATTGGATAACGATACCCACGCTGATTATGTCGAGTCACTAAAACAACCACGAGAGTTGCCAATATTACAAGAATTATTAGATTAATTAGAAACTAAATTTACTATGTTGGATCAGTCGAAGCACAAACAAGATCAGTCTATACAAAAAGTTGCATATCCCTCGCCGAATAACTATTCGTCATAATCTAGAATGAACACGAGATACAATTTTAGGAATATTCATCAAAATAATGATAACTACACTTACTGCTACTTCTCACTCACTTAAGCCTAATAAAACTTCTTATCACGCTACATTGCACATCATTAAGTGTCCAATTTGTTGCACAAAACATGAGCTGTTTGCCAAAAATTTTTTGAACCATCAAATGAATCTAAACTTAAAAGTCTTACAAGGCTGGATATTTATAAAAATTGCTTATATTCGCATTAAGGAAAACCTTGATTTTCTGTTCGCCGCTGTCGCATATGTTCAGGGTGTCATAACACTGTGATACATGACGCTACAGTTCTAAGACCGGCAACCTCTGGTCTAGCAATTATTAAATCATGACCATTTTACAGCAATCAGCAAAATACAACCAGAAATAATAATGCATCGAATGTAACACAGGGAAGTTCTTCATAAATATTATTGTCAACTGCAGAAATAAAAGTAAAAACTACTGACAGGTCTTACAAAATCATGCGAGCCTTTATCGAACAAGGTTCTCAAATTTCACTTATCCCGGAACATGGAGCACAACAGTTAAGATTAAAACGTAAACAATGTAGGCGTGTCATCTTTGGGGTCGGAGAGAATGAAAGCAACTGTAAAGGAAAACAGTATCATTTGCTCCTACAAGCTCTAGACGCCTGTTTAGTCAAATTGAGCCTCCTACAAGAATGCCACCAAACCTTAAAGATGGTAGGGTCAAGCAATTCTATTACCATCCAATGGATCAAGGGATACAGTGGATCACACGGAAACGACGCTGCGGATGAGCTGGCAAGATAGAAAGTATCAGCGATAATGTAGAAATATTATCTGAAGATATGAAATGTATAGAATATTATAAAGAAAATACCCAGCGTACATCAGATGGAAGGTACGAAGTAAGTGTGCCGGATAGCGACCACCGGTACTTGGTTTTCTTATCGTCGCAGCTTAGCTACAGAGTTTTAGACTAAGATTTTGGATGTTTAAATAAAATATGTGATACCTTTGAAATTCTTATAGTGTATAACATTGTATTAAAAAAAATGCAGTTACAAAAAATCGGGTAAGAGGGGTTGGGGACTATATTTTGCGACCAATGGCTGCGTCGATTTGAATATCGCGTCATGTAGCACCATACGGATTGGTGACCGAGCGGATAATTAACTTGGTGGTGGCATTTATTTATTTATTCAGTAACATATGCCGGCTTACAGAAATATCCAAAACGTCGGCAAGTCATACATTAAAACATTAACATTCATTCCAATTCAACAAAATTAAGAAAAACAGAAAAGAAAAAATAAAAAGTAATGTCAAATATATAAACACCCAGAATCAAACCATCTTTGGGCGGGGGCACCCCAGTACCAGCTTCTCCCTTTGGATCGCATCCAGCGCCGAGCGGCTCGAATAGTCGACGACCAGCACCTTTCCGATCAGCTTGATCCTTTGGCTTTGCGTAGGGATGTAGCTTCGCTCTGCATCTTCTATCGCATTTATCACGGGGAGTGTTCTGAGGAATTGTTCGGATTAATTCCAGCTGCTGCATTTTGCCATCGTACATCGCGACAAAAATTTCATCCCCATCATCTTGTTGCGTGGCTATCCACAACCGTGCGTTTTTGTCGAAATTTTTTACCACGTACGACAAAACTGTGGAATATGTTGTCGCCAGCAGTGTTTCCGGACCGATACGACCCAAAAACCTTCAACAAAAGAGCGTACTCCTTCCTTAAAGGCCGGCATCGCAATTGTGATACTCCTGGTGTTGCAAGTCCATGGGCGACGGTGATCACTTACCATCAGGTGAGCCGTCTGCTCGTATGCCCTCTATAACATAAAAAAAGTCTAATTGCCCATTGTAAAATTTTTAGTTAACATTATAATAAAATAAATAATCATGTCAAATTAATAAACAATTAATAATGTCATATCATTCGAAGAAATTATAAAGAT